AAAAAAAGTGAAAATAAATTTGGATTAAGAGGGAATAATATTTTTTGCTTGACAGAAATTCGAAAACAAAATCATATTTCAACTACTATAAAATAGCATTGAATTTAAAAATAAAAAAAAAATAAAAAGAAACACTGGGCCAAGACTGTTAATGAATGAAAATGCATTTTCTACATTTGCGGAGGCCCAAAAAAAAAAAAAAAAAACACAGCTGAGATTATTATATAAATATTCAAAATTTAAAATCATATTTATTAAAATTAATTATCCCTAATAAGTGTAATCAATTATTTATAAAAAAATAGAAAATATCCGACAATATTAAATAACACATATTTTGATAGCATATGGATCATATAATCTACTTAGGGTGCGTTTGTTTGAGAGATTGGATTGGATTTACATTATTTATCCCATTTTTTCTCCCAAAAAAATCAAATCAAATACCTATTTTTATTTTTTTATATTATACTAAAAATTAACTTTACATTCAAAACATCACATCAACACCTATTTATATCACATCATACAACTATTCAAATTCAAAATTTTTACTATTCAAATCCCAACTCAAAATCTAAACCCCAAAACAAACACACTTTAATATATTGTGATTCTAGCACAATAAATATATTATACAACATAGCATAATATATAATTCACACAACAAATGCTTCTATAGAACACAACACGTTAGTGTTGCTAACTTAATTAAATCAGTATGGTGTTGACTTAACTAAGTCAGAATCCTAACTGCTGCTGTGTTTAGAGATATCTTGGTAATTTTAGTAATAAAAAAAAAATCAAATAAAATATATATTCAATATAACCATTAATAATATTTAAAATTTGGAATTAAATTTTGTTAGGTTTGTTTTGAACTTTTTATTATTTGAAATCTACAATATAACTATTTTTATATATTAAATACATTTAAAAAGTTGTTTTTAATTATTTTAAGAAAGTCCCTAGGTGGCTAGCTCGGCATTCGCCAGTAGATTGGATTAAATTGCCTACATCTTATGGGGAGTGTATTCAGTCCGTAGGATTTTATTATATTTTTAAAATTTAGGTATATTCAATTTTTTAAAATTTGGAGGTATTAAATTCAAACTTTTAAAATTTTTTTAAAATACGAAGGTATTCAATACAAAATTTTACAAGTTTTTTAAAATTTCGAGGTATTCAACCATCCATAGACTTTGAAAGTCTATGGATTTTAATGAAAAATTGTGAAAATTTTGTATAGCATAAAATCTTTTCTCATAAGTAGAGATTTTGATGCATTTTTAAAATTATTATTATTATTATTATTATTGTGGATTCAATAATCAATAAATTTTAAAAGTAAGTGGATTTTAATGGAAAGTTATGAAAAAGTTGGACAACTATTCAATAATCCAAATTTCGTTGTTCATCAAATTTTTTCTCTAAAAATATCAAATCAAATACTTATTTTTTATTTTTTATATTATACTAAAAAAAATTAAATTTACATTCAAGACATCACATCAATATCTATTTATATTATATCATAAATATATTCTAATTCAAAAATTTTACTATTCAAATACTAACTTAAAATCCAAACCCTCAAACAAAACACACCCTTAATGGATTCTTAAAAATATATTATTATTAGCAATAAATATTAGATTTATTAATATTATTTTAATGTTTTAATAAAATAATAAAAATTTCACAAATTAAAATATACTATTGAAAATTGATAACAATTTTAGAAATTAAAATACTACTATAATAGCAAATTATTAGCAAATTTTTTGAAAATATAATTTTTTAATTGAAATTTAGAATTAATTCTTATTTTTTCTTGTATAAAAAATATATGGAGAAATTTGAACCCGGGTCACTTGACAATGAAATATTATTCGTCTCCATATCAATTTTATCCTATTGTTATTTCACATTAAATTTGTTAAATTAATAATATATATATACATATATAATACAATTATGTTAAAATTCTAACCAATTAAAATAAATTAATATATTGAATGATAAAATTTAAAATATTAATATATAAAAATTGAATTATGCTACAATTATTATAACAATCCTAAGAAATCTATATAAATTCATAAACAATCCAATTAAATATATAAAATCTATCAAAGTCTTGCGTAGACTTTGTGGATTTACTAAATTCGCAAAAATCTATAGGCTTTTTAAAATCCAATAAAATTTCAAATGAATACAACCCCTTTGACTTAAGAAGTTAAATAATTCATTCATCAAATTTCATCGTGACGCCAGACTTGGTTTAAATAACTTGATGGAGTCGATTTTGAATTTTGGAAAATGCATATCGAAGATTACTTGTATTAACAAGGATTTAGAAATAGTGTTGAAAGACAAACATAAAAAGATTGATGAATCCATTTGCAAAAAGATCGATAAAAGGTTATGGATGCGACTCAAGTTTCGCTATTTTGTGTCCATTTTTATATTTTCGCTTATGTGTTATGTTATTATCATAATATTATTCAATATATTTTATCACAAATCTTTTTTTTTTAATCAAATTTATTAATTTTAATTTTCTTTTCAAGATATTTCATCTAATATTTATTTATATCAAATCAAATAATTATTATAATTTCATAATTTTATTATTCTAGAAATTCCAAAACTCAATTAACTATACTCGTATGTTTCTTTGATTTGAAATGAAAATTTTTTGTATTTAATATGATATTTAATGTAAAAAATTTTGAATTTGTTCTTTCACAATTTTTCAAAAATATATATTTTTTTTCCCAAAGATTAATTTATTGTATACATTTATTATTTTTATATTATTTGCACAATTTTATTTATATTTTTCATAAAAAATATATTTTCAAACAATTTCACTAAACAACCACGCCACTTCATTTTTTAAAAAAACACAATTTGAATAAAAGGCTAAATTACACAAAATCCACCCGTGTTTCATGAAAATTGCACCAAATTCTCCATACTTCTAAAACATCGTCAAACTTTCTTGTGGTTTCATAAACTTCGCATCTAACCCCCTCAACAGCTCTTATTTAACGGTATTTGACCTAAATGCGCTCAAACTGCGAATAAATTTTAGAATCTTAATTTCTAAATCCCTAAAATTACAAATATATTTATTTTTTTATATATATTTAGCCTAAAAAAATAGTAAAAATAAACTCTTAAAACCTGAGAAAAATAACTATTTTTTAGTATATTTATTATTTTTTGGGTAAATATAAAAATAAATAAATATATTTGTAATTTTAGGGGTTTATAAATTGAGATTCTAACATTTATCCACAATTTGAGCGCATTTAGATCAAATACCGTTAAATAAGGACCACTGAGGGGGTTAGACGCAAAGTTTATGAAACCACGAGGAAGTTTGACGCAGTTTTAGAAGTATGAGAAATTTGGTGCAATTTCATGAAATCACGTATGAATTTTGTGCAATTTAACCTAAATAAATAAATAAATAAAAAAATTAAGAAGAAAAACCAAACTCTATCATATTCCTTAATTTAGCAAATACAACCTAAAGTGTATTTGATGTACCAAATTATTACTCTCTCCGTCCCACATTAGATATCCTAGAATAAGTATAATTAGTAGATAATTAATAATGTATTAATAGAAATAATTAACCTATAATATAAATCATTATAAATTAATATTAAAATAATTAATTATTTTAATTAAAATTAAAAAAATTTAAATTAGAAAATTTAAAATAAGATTAAAATGTGTACTCATTTTCGAAAAAAGAAAAATGACATGACATACGAGACAGACAAAAACGACGACGTGTGGTAAGTGAGACGGAGAGAATATTATTTTAAATTTCTAATATCAAACTAAATATTTTATTTTGTATATATTTTATTAAAGATTAAATTTTATTGAAAACATTATATAAACTATATAGGGCCCGTTAGGTTGTTCACGAGATCAAATCAGTATAATTTAACCAAATTAGCAAATAAAAATGAAATAATTAATAATTAATAACAAAAGGCGCACCATGACATATTAATTCGAAGCCATTAATAATATTATATTAATATTTGTTATTTTCTTTACAAATATTTAATGATTCAATCAAATTATTATTATACTAAAATTAGAATATATTTTACTATGTGCAATTATATTTACTATATTTACTACTCCCTTCGGTCTCGGATATTTTGTCCGATTTACTGTAGACACGAGAATTTAAGAGGGGTATAATTAGTAAATAATTAAAAACATATTAGTAAAAATAATTATAGTATAATAAAAATAATTATAAATTAAAATTAAGATAACTAATTAGTATAATTAAAATTAAAAAAATTATAAATTAAATTTTTTAAAATAAGATTAAAGTGTATAATTTTTTTTTTCCAAAAAATTAAAGTGACTAAATAAGTGAGACGGACGGAAATAGAAACGTAGACATGAGAAATGGGACGGATGGAGTATTTATATATATATATAATTAATTTTACCATATGCAATTACATTTATTATATTTACTATTCCATCGTCCCATAAATATAGTCTTAATTGGGTTGAATACGAAATTTAAGGAATATTAATATTATATTAATAGTTGATAAAAAGTACATATAAAAGACTTTTTTGCCCTTGTGAATGTATTGGTATAAAAAGTAGTGGCAATTGTGTAAGAAAAATGAAAAAATAGAGATAGTTTTATGGTGATATGATTATTTATGGAAATAAGACTTGTTTTGAGACGGACAAAAAATAGTAAATAAGACTATTGTACTGAGATAGAGGGATGTTTATTTATTTATTTTTTTCATCTATATATATAATTAATTGAATTTATTAATAGGGCCATTAGTTGGCAAGTCAAATCTACAAAGTTGACTACTAGATAGCACCACCTGCACCCGTCAACACCTAATCAAAACCCAATTATTACCGCCAACCAATTATTAATTAATAATAATAATAATAATAATAAATATAAAATAGAGCACCTAAGCAAACAACATACTTGGATTCGCTTCGACGTCTCCTCTTCCATTGCAGCGAGAGGAAGAACAAACAATCCCCCACCAATTCTCTTCAGGTATACACCTAATCGCACTAATTTCAACACTTCCTCATACTTGTGATTGATCAATTGTGCTGATGTTATGTTATCTTTTTATTTTTTTTTTGGTTAATTTTTAGTTTGGAAGACTGCTGGAAGGAAAGAGGAGAAGCGGGGGAGATGTTAGTTGCGAACACTTTTGATTTATGGCAAAAGGATGTTTTCTTCTCCGCTGCCGAGGAAGTTCAGCAATCTGCCGATATGTATGCGTTCGAATTTCGCTTCCCTTCCCCAATTTTCGAACTATCTTTTTGCTCCTTCGATTTCGTTGTGATTGATCTAGGTTTTGTTTTTTTGTTGTTTCTGTTGATATGCTGTTGATTTTAGTTTTGGTTCTGTGCAATTGTTTCTGTGATTTGATTTTGATTTTCTTCCGTTTGTGGTGTAGTGAGAATTGTAGCTCTGGTTAGGGTTTGGGAAAGTTCTGGTGAATTCTGGTTTGCTTTTTTTTTTTTGTGTTATGCTTTGATCTAACTATTGTTTCTTTGATCTTACTTCTTTTTTTTCCTTTTTTTTTTTTTTTCAATTTGTTGAAATCATTTTTTCCCCCAACATATGAAATTTAGGTCCAATAATTTTTTTTTTTTTTTTTTTTGGTGAAAATTAGTGTCAGTTTAATCCAAGTTTATTAAAATTGATACCGCCATTGATCACCCTAATGAGTTTTGGTGACACTGCAACTGATGATGACGGACATTGTATTAGTTAATGTTGTTTGAAAAAAGAGTAAAAAAAAAAGTTGTTTTTGAAATTTTCCAGTCTTATTTGTTTGAACACAGATGTGCTGGAAATAAGGAAGGTTGTGTTTATCATATGATGGTGTTCAGTCTTAATTTGTTGAATTTCATCGACAATATCAAACACAGCCGTGTATCTACCATGTCATGTTAGGTGACGTCGTTGGATCCCAGAATGATCATGTCAACAAAACCTGTTGCGTGGCAAACAATGGAACTTACTTGATTAATTTTAATTACACCAATACTCTGTTTTGATAAAAACAAAAATCATATTAGGACTAAAATGAACTGTATATATTGGGATAAAATATGATTTCTTCCCATTCGATTTTTTATATTTCGAAAAATAATGCTGGATTTGGTGAGTTGTAAAACTTTTAGCTAGAAGCAGCTGTTTCTTTTCAATGATTTTTTGTTTAAATAATTTGATCTATATGATATGTTTCGATTAATGCTGGCGAGCATTTGTTGTGAACAGGGTTAATAGTGTTAGTAGAACAATTGAAATTGATAATTTCTTTTATCTTTTATGTTTCTCAAGTTTTCAAGCAAAGGCTATTAGAAGAATATCATTATGATCTTTTGGTGTTGTCAGAATGGAATCATCTTATCGGACATGGCTGAAAGCAAAGAGAGAAGGATTAACGCCGCGGCATTTAGGTGAACTTGGTAGAGAGCTTCAAATGGCCTTAGGAACTGCAAAATGGCAGGTTAAAATTACGATCCTTCGATTTATGTGAAGTCCTCATATAATTTAGCCCATTCATTTGTGTTCCCTGCTGTTAATTTGCCTTTCCATTTGTGATTTTACGATTTAGTTTGTTTCTAACTATAGAGAATTAGGCATTTATTTGATTTTGTGATCTTTTTGTTTTGCTGATTTAGTGTGGATATATATATATTCCCAATAATTTGATGCTGTATGTGTAGTTGGAAGAGTTTGAAAGGGCTGTGCGCTTAAGCTACCAAAAAAACAGCGACAAAAATATGATTATCCGACACAAGCAATTTGTTTCCGCTATAGAAGACCAGATTTCCCGTATCGAAACTGCATTCAGAGAATCGCTGTTTGTGGAAGGGAAGAAACAGTTTCGGTGGGTAGATTTGGATGAAGAAGACTGCCACGATTTGGCTCTTTTTCTTTCTGGAACTCCAGGAACATCAAAAAGGATCGAAGGTGAAAACATAAATCAAAACGCAGTAGAAACTAACTCCAGTAATAAATGCGGTGTTGAAGAAAGTTGCAGTCTCGAGTCCAAAAGTATTTCGGAAATGCCAATGGCAAATCTGGGGAAAGATTCAGAACAGCTTCTTACGAAGCTAAGAGAGGGTGAGATTTCAGCAGTGACTGATGAAATTAACCATCAGGACAATCAAGTCTCTGGTAATAAAAATTCATGGAGTTTGGCAGGCGGGAGTGCTCATGAGATTGTTATTGATATCAACGATGATAGACAGAACGATGTATTGACAGAATCGACGCCTAAAGAGAAGGGTTCCAAACATGTTTTTAGGAGTTTGAGAGAAAGCTATCATGGAGGTAAAGGAATGCAGAGACATACACGAATGAAGATTATTAATTGGATAAATCAGGTAATCAATTTAACAACCATCACGATGTATATAGTTCTAGATGAAGTTGGAGGCTTTTGTTTCGATTTCATGCTTTTGATGTATATAGTTCTAGATGAAGTTGGAGGCTTTTGTTTCGATTTCATGCTTTTTACACTTAAATTTTTATTTGGCGAGTCAATTTTGAGTCCTCCGGCTACTTTGGTCATTAATTATTGAAAAAGGTGTGATAATTACATGACAGTCAATTTTAAAACTTTTTAGGATGTCTTTTTCTTTTTTCTTTTTTTTTTGGTAAAATTGCTCATAACACTCTTGTGGTTTCGACATTCAGCCCTGTATTTTATAAATTGCATGGCGTCTCTTTGTAAAAAAACGTTGCATAAAACCCCACCACTATGAAACCTTCCTTGTGTGATGAGAAGATGATTTTCTATCTATATTTTTTGCATGGTGGGGTTTCATGCAATCTTTTTCCAAGTAGGGGGCGCTATATAATTTATAAAATAAAGTAGGAATTGTCATGCAATTTTTAAAATAGAATAGGGATGTACGCTGTCTTTCGAAACCACAAAGGAGTTTCATGTAATATTTTTTAAAGTATAAAGAAGCGCTATGCAATTTTTTAGAGTAAATGAGGATTTACGCTTAATTTCATAACCACAAGGATGTTATGAGCAATTTTGCCTTTAATTTTTTTTTTTGTGTTTTCGTAGAAACTAATATTGTGTGCGGAAACGCTGTTTTTTTTACGTGGTAATATATGCTGAATTAATATTTCTTTCCGGAGAAACAGCTGGGAGAGTGTAAAATGGACCACCGTGCTGTTGTATGTGTTCATCTTTATTTTATAGGGACAGAAGTGCTACAAAGCTCTACTGATTCGATTAAAAAAGAATGAATTTATCCACTTTTCATTGCTTTATTTTGATAGTCCTTGTGTATAATTCATTATTTATATGCTAATATTCTGTCGTGATTTTGCAGCACTTGAGAGGAGATTATAGAAGTCGTAGACAACAGCAAGTGTCTCCGGCATTATTGATCAGTTCCAAACGTTACATACTGGCGTTGATGCTAATCATTTTTTTAGCCGGTATTCTCTATTCCATTGATTAATTTAATAATGCACTTTTTTTCTTATTTTAAATGTTATAATTTGATTTCTATTGCTAATTGCTTTGAATTTTACTGCTGCAAAAAATCTAACCTTGTCAACTAGACCTTGAATTAGTGGAATAGTGAAAATGATCCTCAATTTTTCTTGTTTTTAATTATAAACTGAATGGTCAGCATGACAGTCTTCACTAAGCAGCAAATAATATTGTTGGGCAAACCTTTTTTTTTTATAGCGTTCTAGGTAAATTCCAGCTAAACTTAATAGCCTGCAAACTAGATCTGATAAAATAAGTCACACTAGGCGAACTATGTGTGACAAACAGAATTTAGAGACGTCGAGGGTTTAAACTTATGACCTCACGGTAATAAGTCTACGCTCACACTACCAGGCCATCCTTTACGGGACATTAGGCAAACTTTTTGGTGTGTTTGCTTGTGTTTTGGAATTTTTTGGATGTTTAGTTTTTTAGAATGGAAAATAGTGGATCGTTGTAATGTTGCGTACTCTGTTTTTGGGAGAGAATGAACTTTTTATAGTAGATTGTATAGTGCAAAAAATGCATTGTTAAAATCCGATTGTGTAATTATATTAGAATTAAGTGTTATTGTTTGCACATATACTCATAATATGGAAAAGGGTAAGTGTTTGGAGTTAAAATCGATCGACAACAAAGTTATAAGTTAAAATCAAGAATGTAAGAAGACGCCTCACATAGTCGAACACTAATTCCCTTATTTTTTAGTCCCGAAGGTTTTATGTAGCCATGAACCATGAATATTTATCTTTTGTGTAATAAATCTTGTAATTATCGATGCCATTACTTTACCCTTCAATGGAATATTCAAACTCTTAGGGGTATTGATTTGTTTCATCCTATGCCCACTGAAACGACGCTAAATCTTTCGTTCTTGCAGTCCCTTTTCTGCTCTACTCAACCTAACCCTACACGGAACACCGACCATGAGCTCGACTAGAGGTATTCAACGAATTCGAAACCCATGATCAGTGATACTCGTTATATTTGGAAAAGTGTGTTAATTTTTTGTGCGTTGGAAGGAAGTTCCTCCATATTTGATATTTGCATGGTTTAAGACATAGTATTTGTGAGATGTTCGATGCCACCTGCAAATAAAATCTGTTGATGTGCGTTCGCTCGACTCTCTTTTTTTTTTTTTTTTTTATTATGATGTGGGAACTCGCAGCCGTTATCCGAAAGTACTCACTAGGGGTGTGTTTATTTGGGGGTTTGGATTTTGAGTTGGGATTTGAATAGTAAAAATTTTGAATTTAAAGAGTTATATGACCTGATATAAATAGGTGTTGATGTGATGTTTCGAATGTAAAATTGATTTTTAATATAATATAAAAAATGAAAAATAGGTGTTTGATTTGATGTTTTTTGGGGGAAAAAATGGGATGAATAGTGGAAATTAAATCCAATCTCCTAAACAAACACACATTAGGTAAATCTCCGGCCGAATATAATATTCTGCAAACTAGGCGAACCATGTGGGGCAGGTGATCTGAGATATCGGGGGTTTGAACCCATGACCTTAAGGTCATACATCCAATCGCCACACCAGCAGACCATCATTTACGGGATTTCGCTCGACTCCCCCTTTAGTTGCATTCGATGTTGCTAAAGAATGCTATATATGGCCACAACTTATATACACATGTTGAGTGATAGAAATTGTTTGGCCTATTTCTATGGAGGATATGTACATGTGTGTGTGCACGGGACTTAACGATCCTTTATTAATTTCAAACTCTAAATTCAAATTCAAATCCAAATTAATCCGAGGACATTCTTAGCATTCATTCTTGTTACAATATTGAATCATATATACGGCAATATTGAATCTCTGTTATCCCTTCCAAATCTAATTGTATGTTCGTTTGATTGAACACAAGTTTTTAAAAACAAATGGATAATAGACATTTTTACTTTTTAAGGTAAAAAAAATATATATAAAATGGTATTTTTTTTTTTCAATGGGTAAGAAAGAGTGAATAAATTTGAATGATAGAAGGAATATGAATATATATCTTTTAAGATATTTCAAAAACGATATTTCATTTCAAATAACATGACTTTAAATGACAAGAAATCTAGAAAAGAAATTAGGAAAAAGTTATTGAATTCACTTTTCATAATTGATGTAAAAACAATATTTATACATGCAATAAATACAATCTAAGCCACACTAGTTACATTATACTCTCTTCGTCCAAGCTAAAAGTATACAATTACTTTTGGCGCGGAGATTAAGGAATAATAGTATTTTAATTATAGTGGGTAGGTAGAAGTAGTAAAATGACATTTTTGCCTTTACTTTTTTGGTATAAAAGTAATGATGTGATGTAAAGTAAGGATATTTGTGGAAAAAATGGAGTATTTAATGAAATGGTTACTTTGTAATTGGACTTCCCAAAATAGAAATATGTATACTTTCTGACTGGACGGAGAGAGTATATAATAAAAAAGATTGATCTAATTATCTATACAGATAATCAGACACAATAATAATAAACGGATCGGATTAGACTTGAGACCTTCAATCCGAACTCTCGACATGACAACCTGTTAATAATATACGAATATTAATTAATATATATTATACACATTAAATAATTTCAATTTAATATAGTATAAATTTAAATTTCGGATCTATTTTTGAAGGTTCAAGCACCGTTTCTTTCGTGACGTGCTTATTTTTACCGCCCCAATATACGACTATAATTTATATATATACATATGTGTATACATATACACTAGAATCTACAACAATGGTTATCATAAGTAACTACAGTGTCTCTTACATGTTGATTATCCAGCCATTTTGTTGATCAGAGGTTTCAGTGAGAGCTGAACCAAATTCCATGCAGAGAATTTTGATCCATGGAACTGAACCCTAACTGATTTTCTTCCTCCATTTCTCGAAAATTCTAAATCTTTTATGACTTCGCCAAGCGTATTCTCAGGCTCGTCGTCGAGCAAAGGCAGCGCAGCAGAGCCACCGGTCTCCACATTTTTAATCCAACCGCGCACGAGAAAGTTCACCACCTGAGAAAAAACACGACAGTAGTAGGAACGAACACATGAATTTCTATGACATATTAGAAGATCTCGTGAGCTTAATTTTGAATTTGAATAGATGTATGATGTGATATAAATAATAATTGATATGATATTTTTAATGTAAAATTGATTTTTAGTATAATATAAAAAATAAAAAATAAGTGTTTAATTTGATGTTTTGGGGGGAAAATTTTGTAGGAATAGTGGAAATCCTACAAACTTCTTCAAACAAACACACCCTATAAATTAAATTCGAAATAGAGCTGTTAAACAAATCGAGTAGCTCGCAAGCCTCGTTGATAAAGATAAACAAGCCGAGCTCGAACTCGAAAATTATTTTTTTAACAAACGAGCTCGGTTCGCAAGTAGCTCAATTGAGCTCGTTAGTAATAATATATTTATATTATTTATATAATAATATAATATATAATGTTTTATATTAAAATTTACATTTATTATTAAAATTTGAATATTATATTATAAAAAACTATGAATAAAATTAAATATATTTAATTTATATATTAAAAAATACTCTCTCCTTTCTAACTCAAAGTACCCCTTTTAGAAACATACATCAATACTAAAGTATTCATTTCCTATTTTATTAAAAACAATCATTATCTTAACTTTTATCTAAATTTACAAACATATCATTACACATACAATTATTTTTTACATGGGCAAAAATGTTAAACTTCTTACACACTTCCACTGACTAATAACATATTATTATTTTTTAATCTACTACAAAACTCTAAAGGAACCCTTTGGACCGGGACGGAGGAAGTATGCGAAATATGTATAAAATTCAAACCGAACTCGAGTTCAAGCCTTACGAGCCGAGCTCGAGCTTGAATTCGAGCCTAATGAGCCGAGCTCGAGCCACTATTTTGGCTCGAACTCTTAACAAGCCGAGCCGTGTATGTACCGTTAACAAGTTCAAGTCGAGCTCGAACAACAAATACTTGAGCTCCCTCGGCTCGTTTAACAGCTCTAATTCGAAGTGGTCTTTTATTTTTACTACATAAAGAAAATGTTTTTACCTCAGGAACTTCGTCGTGGGGGCAGTGACCCGCCGGGCTGATCTGGTAATAAGGAGCGCCCCGAGCTTGACGTTTAATCTGCAAACCGAAGAAAGGCAATACCCAAGGATCTTCCTTTCCATACACGAGACAAATGGGTATGTTGTTCATTTGGCACCTGCATTTCCAAGCTTTGTCAATGGAAATCTATATATATATATATATAGAAAAACAAAACAAAACAAAATATATTTCATTGAACTTAAAGGTGTGTTTGTTTTGTGAGATAATTTGAAGGAGAATTTTTAATTCTCAACGTGAGGTACGTGGAATTGTGTATGAAATATGAAAATAATGAATGTGTGTAATATATTAATATTTTTTAGAAAATGTGCGGTGTTTCTTTTGTTAAAAGAACACACCCTTACTTGGATAAAGCTTCATTTAAGGACAACTCTCCCCGGGGGGCAAACATGATCGAAGCAAACGATGCAGCGGCGGCCGGGTGTTGTGTAGTCTCGACTATACGAGAAAACACATCATCTACATTCGTCGAGTGGTCTGCATACACTTGTTTCAGTATATCTGCAATACTTCTTGGGTCGCTAATCTTCTGCCATCTACAATGCCAAAAAGAAAAAACACATTTCCGATGTTAGTCCCATTTGAGTGTTTATTAAGTGTATATATATATGCATATTGAAAGTGATTTAAACGAATAGTAGGGGTGGACACGGTTCCGGATACAAGTATTTGATATCTTAACCCAACAAATACTCGAAATCGCAAACCGTATCAGAAATCGAAACTTTCGGTTAACCGAAAATATTTGCAAATAATTCAAATCGAACCGAAATTAAGAAAAAATACACTGAAATTCTAATTAAATAAAAATATTTGCAAATATTTCATATATTTGAACTGAAACTGATATAATTATAATACTCCCTATGTCCCGCTGAAACGTTGTGATTTGATTTTTGCGTCATTGTACTTAGACAATATTTGAATTATTTACTTTACAAATGTCATTTACTCTATAAATGTCATTGTATTGGTACTGTAAGAGACTAATTAACACATTTTTGTCTTCTTCTTTTTTTCTTGATTTGTACTCAATATTGATATAATAATTAATATTCAACAATCAACATGCAAAAAATCAATGACAACCTTGCAATGTAGCTGGACAAAGTGAGTATAAATTTTAAAATATAATAATATAAATATATAAATATATCCGGTTCGGTTAACTGAACCGAACAAAATATCAAAAACCTAAACCGTATGGAACCGAATAAATATCAAATATGCAGTATTTGTATTCGAATCGAATTTGCTCGATCAACCGAAAATTCGGTTCGGTTCAACAGTTCGACGGTTCGGTTCAATTTTTTTGCCCTCCCCTAACGAATAGTACTTACAGAATTGCTACAAGCTTTCGAACTGTGGAAGGGAGAGGAAAAGTTCCGGCCCAAGGAAAGAGTCTCGACAATGCTGGAGATCGTATAGAATTAGGGACAAACGCCCAAAAAGGAGTTGCGTTAAGCAAAGTAATGCCTTTCACCAAATGAGGATAAAAAGCAGCAAAATACAGCGCCATGAACCCTCCGAGAGAATTTCCCACAAGGTAAACGGGTTCTTTTATCACCTAAAGAAAATTATCGTTCCATCAAATACGTACAAAAATCATTGTTCTTAGCTATCGGTTAAAATCTATATATATATACACACATAACATAAGTATACGACAAGAAGCTTCATCGTACCTCTTCCACGAAGTAATGAATTTGATCCTTCCACAAGTCGGTAGAATAAACGAGCTCTTCTGCCCATGTCTCACTTTCGTCTCCAAAACCCCAAATACCATTCTGTCCATCTTTAGACTGTAATGTCGGATCTTCATAAGGTAAGGACAAGCCTTGACCAAGAAAATCGAGTGCCCACACTCTATGATCACGACCAAGATCTTTCAGTTGTTTCTTGTAATGAAACGAGCCTACACCAAACCCCGGAAGCAAAAGAATCGGTGGGGAATCCTCATTACATGACCCTGATATCTCGTAATGAACCTTAAGTTTCGGACGCCATTCCCAGAAACAACTTGTTATCCGAGCTGCATTATTACCGTTGTTTTCTTCTGGCAAACTAGGAATCGAAACCCTTGGTACATAGGATTCATATGTTTCATCCAAGACACCTGAATTAACATTTTCGTATCTCTCAAGAGCGCAAACTGCCGAAGAAGGTTTGCTGAGGCTACGTCTCTTTAATTTTCCGTGATTCGGATAAAATTTTTGTGATGATGCTAAACCAGTTATTACAGGGCAAAAAAATCTTTCCCTTTTAATAGGAAGCTTTGATCGAAGTGGTTTAGAGCTGCTTACACCACAAGAATTTATGACATAATTTTGGTGTGCACCATGACAGTGAATAATTTCCATCATTTTTGCTGAAACAAGTAACAAAACTATTGTTAAAACTAACTGCACATTTTCTTACAAAGCTACATGTAGAATGAGTGAGAAAATGATCGAGCTTGTTATATCCAATCTCACATCAAGATTCATGTTTGCTTCTTAATTGTTTTCAAATTTAGGGTCCGTTTGGATTGACTTAAAAAATAAACAGAAGCTAAAAGCAAAACTTAGATTTTGTGTTTGGATAAATCATTATAAAAGCAACTTTTTATAAAAATTGTTTGGAACCCAATACGAAATAATTGAGTTTGGGTCAAATATTCTAACCTGCTTATGTATACGGGTTGATGCGAATCCGACACGATAATAAACAGGTTATAGTTGAGGCTCAACTAGAAGACACGACAACAATATTGATTAATATATTTATTTATATGTGTAAAATAATTATAATTTAATAATCAATTTTAAATAATTCAACATAATTCATTATACACATTACACTTGAACCAATAAAAATTAACATAACACGATAACACGACAAAAAATAATTTGATTTGATTCAATAATTTCGACTTTAATTATGTATATAGGTCACGCGTCAACACGAACCCGACATGATAATAAACGAGTCAACACGAACCCAACACGATAATGAACGGGTCGGATTAGGGTTGAGTAATTTAATCCCGTTTAAAGTATTCAACCCAACACGACCAATTGTCAGCTCTACTTAAACTGTTAAAATTATTCAAAAATACATGTTGTCAATATAACTGTATATTTCTATAGAACTTTCATAATTTATTTTTTAATTTAATTAATTATATTTAAAGATTTTAAATTAAAGTATAAAAAATATATATTTAAATTTTAATTATTTATATTTTCAAATTTTAATTTAAGAATAATATATAAATTACAAATAAAAATACAATTTAATATTAAATTATTTGTATTTTAAAATTTATAAATTATATTTAATAATTTTATTATAATTAAAAAATTTATATACTCTTATTAAATATGGTATCTCAATTATAACTTTAAATTTTAATTCAAGTATAACATATAAATTAAAAATAATAATATAATTATAATTTTTAATTTTTATTAAAGTATAATATATAAGTTAATTATTTTTATATTATATTATAATATTATATTTATTATTATTATTATTATTATTATTATTATTAGCTAAGCTACTCTCCACGCTATTCTAAAAAAAATATTTTTCAACCTCAAAAGCAGTTTCACTTTTGTTTTAACAGAAATCAATACAAACAATCAGAAAGTGTCTTTTTTAGAAGTCACAAAGTTCTTTTTTTTAGAAATATAAACCAAAAACTCCCGCCAAAAGCAAGTCAAAACAGAGCTGACAAACAACTTCAGCTAACTAACTCCACATTTGAGTTCTACTTACACAGTTACACACAAGAATTTCAGCTTTATAACATAGAAAAATGATAGTGAATGAAATGTTTTCGATTAATCAAACTCCTTGTGTGATTCCATAACAAGTTATGTTTGTTTGGGGATTGAATTTTAAATTCACTATTCATCCAATTTTTTATCCCAAAAAAATATCAAATCAAACACTTATTTTTCATTTTTTATATGAAACTAAAAATCAATTTTATATTCAAAACATCACATCGAACACCTATTTATATCATATCATACCGCTATTCAAATTCAAAATTTTTACTGTTCAAATCCCAACTCAAAATCCAAATCTTTGGATGCTGAATTCTTGTCTAATATTCTCTCCTGTATCAAAATACTAATAATATCAACGATTTATCTATCCCCACAAATCATTGGGATTGGGATTGGGATGAATACAACTCATCCTTCCAGTAACTACTCATCTCAACCGTACGTAATGCAATTAACACTTCAAGTCCCTAATTAAACGAGTTTATCGATTTAGAGGTTGAATTCGAAATCTAACCCAACTTATTGAATTCATACAGTTACAAATCAATCAACAAGCTAGCAAGTAAATATCAACACAACAACAACAAAGCATGCCGTCATATATCGAATCAAAATCCCTAAAAATTTACATTACATACATACCTCTCAAAGGAGAACCGAATCGAATCGAAGCGAACCGCGAATCCAATCTCTCAAGCTTCCAGCGTCCAGAGAGAAGCAGTCAATTGGATACTGCCTGGCAGTTAATCTTCCCGAATTCTCGCAACACTCCTCCACCGGAATGAGAAAGAAACGAAAACTTGAAAACAAAACAAAAATATGGTTAATCAGTGTCAGTAGCTAAGCTAATCAATTAAAGTTGCTTGAGAAGGTGGATTGCTTCAATGGATTGGAGATGCATAATGATGCGAGGTTTGTCGCGGCGTGGGGTCGGTGGGGCTTTAATTTGTGTTGTTTCAAAAAAATTTAGGTCGTGGAAAAGATGGAGTGCACGCAATGTGTGCTGTGATTTGACTATAAATGTGAATGTGTTTGTTTTTGCCCAAGAAAGGAGACCGGATTGGCCACGTGGAAAATTCCAATGCAATTATGATGATATTAGTAAGATTTTTTCTTTAATAAACTTTTTTAACGTTAATTTGGCCAATTTAGTTTAAATACTACTCCATCCATCCGTCTCATATACTATGCATTTTTTTTTTTCACGGAGTTTTAGACATATTAGTCTTATATTAAAATATAGTAGGAATAAAATATAAATGACTAAAATAATCTTATTAGTATTGTGTGATATAAAAGTAATGATATTTGTGTAATATATCGTAAGTTGTAAGAGTATTTATAATGTTAAGTAGATAGTACAATTACTAAAACGAAGATAGATACTTTGTTATGAGACGGAGAGAGTACATTTGGTTTTTCGACGTAGATTTTTGAATTTTAGTATTATATTGATTTATATTAAAAATAAAAAATAAAATTGCCCCTATTAGATTGAGCAATAAAAAAAATAATGGTATTTATCTAATATATTGGAAATTGCAACGGTATTAATTATGTTAGATAGGTAGTACAATTACTAAATTAGTAAATAATATATTTTTTTTAGACAAAAAAAAAAATTGTATTCTTCTTATGGGATGGGGGAGTATGAAGTTTTAAATTTTGTTTAATTAATAAATGATAAATTGCACAAAATCCATTTATGGTTTCACGAAATAGCGTCAAATTCTCGTACTTCTAAAACTACGTCAATCTCCCTCGTGGTTTTATAAACTCTGCATCTAACCCTCTCGGTTGTCCTTATTTAACGGTATATTACCTAAATGCGCCCAAACTGTGAATAAATTTTAGAATCTCAATTTCTAAACTCCTAAAGCTACAAATTTATTTAATTTTTTTATATTTAGCCTTAAAAAAATAGTAAATAACACATTTTAGTATTACACACAGTACATACTATGTATAATAAATATATGTGTTGTTTTTTAATAATAACAAGTGTGTTGTATGCAAGTATGTCATGTGTTAAAATCAACTGTTACGTGTGTTGTATAAAACAATAGCATGTGTTGTATTTGTATTATATTAACAAATATGATGTGTTATCTGTAGTAATATGGTGTGTTGTTGAGATTATTGCATATATGTTTTGTTCATGTATTGTATTTGTATTATATTAACATATAGTGACATCATTTTAACAGACGGAAACAATTATTTTTCTTATAAAAAAAATACATTATCAATTTTATATTTACCAATAAAAATATATTAATATTATATAAAACTATTAGGTTGTGTTTTTTGTGGGTTTTACACGAGTTTTTACTATTGAGATTTTTTTCTCTCTCCAAAAATATCACATCAAACAATTACTTTTTTTTATACTATACTATAAATTTATTTTACATTCAAAACATCACATCAATGTCTATTTATATCACATCAAACAACTATTCAAATTCAACTTTTTACTATTCAAAATCCAAGCCCAAAATTCCAAACCCACAAACAAACACCTTTCTCCGAGTCTCGCTGTAAGGTTGTCATGTGATTTTTGCGTCATTATATTTGACATTAAAAATAATATTATATTTGAATAATTTACTTTACAAATGTCATTGTATTTGTAATATAAGAGATTAATAAACTTATTTTTGTCTTCTTATCTAGATTTTTATACTACATATTAATATAATAATTAATATTCAAATATCAACGTCTATAAAAAGTCAATTGCAACCTTGCAGCAAGAGCGACTGGAGTATTTCAATTGGAAACAACTAAATCAAAATCTACAAAATATAAACAAAATATACCCAATTTTGATATAATATTTTGGTTTATCGAGAAAAGTTTCATTCATTTTTTTTAATGATATTCCCTTCGTTCGGACTAAGGTGTCCATTTTATCGGAGATACAAGAATTTATGATCGGTATATAAATAGCAAGTAATTAAGAATACATTAGTAAAAATAATTATTTTATTTTATTATAAGAGACATAGGGTAAACTATTTCTTTAGTTCTGTAACTGGACCCCTTTATCATTTTAGTCCTGTAAGTGGAGCCTGTCGCAAACTAGTCCCATAAGTGAAAAATTTTCGCTGTTTTAATCCTCCGGCGCCGAAGACGCCCACGTGGCTCGCCGGAGGTGACGTGTTCGCCAGGTGTCACACCAGGTCAACGACACCTGGCGGACACGTGGATTTATTTATTTTTTATTTTATTTTTAATTGGATCAAATAAAAAAAAAAACAAAAAAATACAAATAAAATTAAAAATAAGTTTTTAAAAAAATTTAAAAAATGAAAAAAAATAAAAAATTCATGTGTCCGCCAGGTGTCGCTGACCTGGCGGACACGTCACCTCCGTCGAGCCACGCGGGTGTCTCCGGCGCCGAAGGACTAAAACAGCGAAAATTCTTTACTTATGAGAGTAGTTTGCGACATGCTTCACTTACGGGACTAAAATGATAAAGGGGTTCAGTTACAAGACTAAAAAAACAGTTTACTCTAAGACATATAATATAGTATTGTAATATATAGAAACATGTATTGTGTTATACTGAATAATATGTTCATTGTTCTGAAATTACAATATATTGTACTGCATTGAATTATATAATGTGATATGCTATATACTATAATAATTTTTGCTATGTGAGTTATATATTGTGTTATGATATATAATATGCTTATTATGATGAAATAAAAATATATTGTGCATGTAATTATATGATGTGTTATCAAAATATATTTATATATTATATTACTACGTGTCGTAGGATATGTGTTATTTTTATTATAAATATATATATTGATTAAATCAAATTAGCACAGTAACCAAAACGATTATTATTACACAGGAAAAATTACTCATAATTTATTTGTAGTTTGAAATATCTACATCATTCTCTCTCATTATTTTAAAAACTGTATGAAACTCTGTCGTAATTTAAAAATATTTCACAAAATCATTTTTTAGATTTTTGTGTAATATTTTCATAAACAGAAATGAGTCTTGCCCGCTATTTTTAGAGAATATTGTGCATTATTTTTTAAAAACACAAGGGAGCTCGATGTAATTTCTCAATCACGTGGGAGAAAATGGCGCAAACTTTTAATAAATAACATTATGGGTGTGTTTGTTTGAAGGATTTTGAAGAATTTCTACTATTCATCCAATTTTTTCCCCCCAAAAATATCACATCAAACACTTATTTTTCATTTTTTATATTATACTAAAAATCAATTTTACATTCAAAACATCACATCAAACCCTATTTATATCACATCATACAACTATTCAAATTCAAAATTTTTACTATTCAAATCCCAATCCAAAATCCAAACCCCCAAACAAACACACCCTATATTTACTTAAATAGTCAAATTGTGTGTTTCTTTAGGCTTGTATCGGAAATATTTGATTTTTTTTTTATAATAATGTTTAATGGTTTTTTTTTGACAAAAAATATATAAGGTGTGTTTGTTCGTGAGTTTTAATTTGAGTTTGAATTTTTTAATAGTAAAAAGTTGAATTTAAATAGTTATTTGATGTGATATAAATAGATGTTGATAAGATGTTTTGAAATGTAAAATAAATTTGTAGTATAATATAGTATATAAAAAAAAAGTAAAGTAATATTTTTGGAGGAAAAAAAAAGAATTTAAACAGTAAAAATATGTGCTAAAACCCACAAAAGAATACAACCATAATTTTTTTTTTTGTTCTAAAAAAAATACAAAATCCAAATAATAAAAATTAAAAAACTTTTATTTCCATTTAAGTTGTTTTGATTCGAAATTGTTGGTTTTAACTCCTAAATATGATTTATTTATTACTTTCTCCGTCATGAAAAATAAATTAAGTTTGGGTTGTGGATCCCGTTCTAATCCAATCAAATCAACGTGATATGATTCGATGGTCAGCATGTCGCATACAAGTAATCAACATATATTATATACTATTATAACATATTTATGATACTCATATATGATATCTTATAATACAATATATATTGTGTTATGCAAAATATATATTATATGCCTTGTTGATATATATATTGATTAGGGGGTGTTTGGCAAATAGTTTTTTTAAGAGCTTTTAGCTTATTGAACAACTTTTAGCTGTTTGATTAGTCAAAAAGCTAATTTAGATGTTTGGTAAATTAGTTTTTTGGAATAGCTTTTTGGACCCAAAAAGGAAAAGCTAATTTACCCAACGTTTTAAAATAGCTTTTTCTGTAAAATTTTTTTTTATTCTTTATATGCCCTTAAAAATTTATTATACATTTTACACAAATAAATATATTTTGATTATTTATTAATTATATTAGAATATTTTATTATATTATAGTTTTACTTCTATAAATTTAAAATAATTAATTTTTATATAAAAATTATTTTAATTGTAAGATATATAAATTTATTAAAATCAACATAAAATAAAAAATATAAATATTAATAATTTATTTTTTTATTAAAATTACATTATATAAATTTTATACTAAAAATAAATTAAATAAATTAAATTTATTGAAAATTATAAATATAATGAACTAATCAATAACTAACATAATAAATATATACACGAAAAATTTATTATTTTATATTTTACATCATTTTCAATAAAAAAACTTTTTATATATTTTAATAAAAAAATATTATTTTTTAAATCTAAATGTAATAAAAATAAATACTTTTATAACACTTTTACAATTTTTAATAACTAATAACAAAAAATTTTAAACATTCTAAACTCAAAAGAACATAATTGAATATATTAGAAACAAGAATAAAATAGAAATATTCTCAATTGTCATTTTACGTATAAACAACTAATATCAAACAGTTGTTTTACCAAATATTTTAATACAACCAGCTAATCGAATCAGCTAGTCAAACCAACTAATTGAATCAGCTAACAGCTATCAGCTAATTG